GCTAAATGTATGTTGATTGAGATGTCGGCACCAGGGATGAGTTGGAAGATGTTCATTATGGCGGGCACAGAGCGGTTTGACAAGTGTTTTTCGTCGTTCTTTTTGGTGTGAATACATCCCCTTTGTTTTCTGGGGCGTCGAGAGCGGGTCGAAGTGAGGATCCCATCGATCTTCCCCTCCTGCTCTACTCTGTCCACTCCTCCCTGGTGCGCTGGCTTCGACTGCAACCACAACTCTCTCTCTCTCGCCTCTCTATTTTTTTCTCCTAGTTCGATTATACGACCGCTACGAACACTCGACGACAGAACGACCATACAATAGAGACGACTACTGTCGACCATCTTATTGCACACTCATCACCAGAGCCCATCGCACAAAATAGTCTCGCCGCTACGCCCCGCCTGACGTGGAGCACCTCGTGCATCCTGGAGACGTACAGGAGCTTCCTACACGATCTATATTTTTTCTACAAAATTAAGGCGTCCGTTTATTGCCTAGCGCTCGCGCCCACCCTTGTCAAAAGGCCAATCCGTTCGGAGAACCGGAGTCGTGTTGTAAGTCTCATTCGTCTATCTTGCGACCACCGAAAGCGCGCTAGGGGTGTAGAATATCACTTGTACTGTATGCTAATGAGACGCGCGCGTCATTTGGACAGGGTTAAATATTGTGAAAAAGCCAGACATGTCGGTGGCAGAGGTCGAGGCAGCTAGCCACCAATCTAGAGAGCCATCTGTGAGGGCTCCCAAGCTTCATGAACTCAACAGCAACGCAAGACTACATTTCCATCACGGAGAAGACGAGACGATTCGAGTCCACGGGCGGCATAGCTCGCCGCCGTCGCGTCTTGAATCGAGTTCCCCCCTAGATTCTGCGAGCGAATCCACCATAAATAATACATCAACGTGTGCGTACTTTTGCCTTTTGTCTCGTATTTTTGAATCGTTTTTTTTCTCTGGCATTTTCCGATTTCGCCGTTTCTTCCATGTCAGTTTTCCTCTCGACACCCCCATCAATGGTTTATGCGGAATGGGTAGAATACTACCAAAAGAGGCATCGTAATTTACCGCGCGTGCGGCCAGCCGAGATAACCTCGATTTGCTCCAAAATCTGAACGCGCGCCGTACGGGATTTATTATCCCAGTTCGTCCCTGGGGCCTAACCCGCGGCTTCTCTCAGTCCATGCCTAAGCCTACCCGTGGGCACGTTGTCCCAGCGATTGGACGCTGGTTGGACGGACGGGCGTTGGTGGAATCTCAAATATAATAATTTTAAACTCATTTCTTGCAGCCAATCTCGTTGCGCACTGCACGCCCTCGCCACCCCTTTTTCCATTTACTGCTCTTGTTGGGAGGTCATGTCATACACCTCGCCTATTGATTCGACCCCCTTCCCTCCTACCCGTTCAAATGCTTCAATCCTACTAAATGACATGTGTATACCCTCACCTGTCTCTATTCTTTCCCCGCCGCACGCACAATGCGCAGAGCGCACCGCGATGGCCTCGTTGTTTCGTGACCGAATTTCTCTTTCTTGTTCTTACCTCTTCCTCAATTTTCCCCCAATATTCGTGCGATAGGCGTCTGCATCGATAACAGCGTGAGCCCCCCCTTTTTCCATGTCCTCTAGGGACGAGCCGAGAGCTCCTCTCAATCCCAAACACGTGTCCCTGCGTAGCGGCGATCCAATATTCGCGCGCGCGCCACCGTCTAGCCATGCCCCCTCCTCTCCTAGGGTTGGGTTGTGACGACAAGGACGACTCTCGCGTCCCGCATCCTCCTCCTTTGGTGTGCTCGGACAGTTGGGTGTTGACGGGGGGGAGAGGACTGTCTCTACCGGACAGTCGTAGTGGCTGGGGGGAGAACTGACTGCCTCTTCTTTGTTGTTTACTATTCTCCACTCTCATTGTCAAAAGCATCTGACTGACGTTTCTGTTTTCTCCCCTTCTCGTCTTTCGCCCATATTACGTTCAATTTCCTTCGGCCGGTCTGCCTCGCAACCTCTGGACGACCTCCTTTTCGTCGGGAACCGCAACTATACTGCCCCCTATTCGTTCGATCGGCGGGGCCTACTCTCGGTCCAAAACGACTTTATGTGCGACTTGTCGACTCTACCACCTTCTTATTCCGCATCTACTATTCGACCTGGCACCTTCTGACTTTGTCTGTCCCAATCCCACTAACGTTTCTTTTTTCTTTTCGAACGGACCGGCTTCGGTCTGGATCTGACGCCTTCGAAACTCTCCGGTCTGAAATGAACGGGCAAACTTTGGCACGGAATAATATATAAACCCCCCACTTTTGGTACGCGATCCCGAATGATGGTGTTTGCTGACGAAACCCCCCCTCCAATCAAAATACGCGCGAAACGCAAAATTCCAAAATCAAAAACACCAAAACTCAATTCAATTCATTCATCAAACCCGCGGCCCCTTTTGTGCGCGATGCCGCTCGCTCATAAAGCAGTTGGCAGACACGAGTCCCTATCCGCCTCCCAATCTCCTCCCCGATCTGAACATCCGCAGTATCCGGATCTTGCCGACGATAACGACTCGGAGGAGCAGCCTGGACCATCACCATCAACATCTTCGCCACCCATCATGAGAGCCGCCAGGGAGGTCAACACGCAGCAACCTCCTGTCATAACGGGCACAACTGCCAATAGCAAGACGACAGCGGTCACCCTAACGAGCAAAAGGGCAAGCCCGATACCCTCGAGCCCAACCTTGCATACCGTCCTCACGGACGCCTCGCCCACCAGCGCAAATAATCACGAAGCACCTGCTTCTATGCCACCTGCTAAATGTATGTTGATTGAGATGTCGGCACCAGGGATGAGTTGGAAGATGTTCATTATGGCGGGCACAGAGCGGTT